GATAAAGAAATTAATATGAATATGAGCGTCTGTTCTCCTAATAACATATTTTTTTGAAAAATTTTGCAAGTGTCAGAAAATACTTTATATAAATATGACGATAAAATGAGTTTAATATATATAAGTATGAACACACATCTATCGATAAAGAAATTAATATGAATATGAGCGTCTGTTCTCCTAATAACATATTTTTTTGAAAAATTTTGCAAGTGTCAGAAAATACTTCATATAAATATGACAAAAAATGAGTTTAATATATATAAGTATGAACACACATCTATCGATAAAGAAATTAATATGAATATGAGCGTCTGTTCTCCTAATAACATATTTTTTTGAAAAATTTTGCAAGTGTCAGAAAATACTTTATATAAATATGACAATAAAATGAGTTTAATATATATAAGTATGAACACACATCTATCGATAAAGAAATTAATATGAATATGAGCGTCTTCTCCTAATAACATATTTTTTTGAAAAATTTTGCAAGTGTCAGAAAATACTTTATATAAATATGACATGATAAATATGAGTTTAATATATATAAGTATGAACACACATCTATCGATAAAGAAATTAATATGAATATGAGCGTCTGTTCTCCTAATAACATATTTTTTTGAAAAATTTTGCAAGTGTCAGAAAATACTTTATATAAATATGACGATAAAATGAGTTTAATATATATAAGTATGAACACACATCTATCGATAAAGAAATTAATATGAATATGAGCGTCTGTTCTCCTAATAACATATTTTTTTGAAAAATTTTGCAAGTGTCAGAAAATACTTTATATAAATATGACAATAAAATGAGTTTAATATATATAAGTATGAACACACATCTATCGATAAAGAAATTAATATGAATATGAGCGTCTGTTCTCCTAATAACATATTTTTTTGAAAAATTTTGCAAGTGTCAGAAAATACTTATATAAATATGACAAAAAATGAGTTTAATATATATAAGTATGAACACACATCTATCGATAAAGAAATTAATATGAATATGAGCGTCTGTTCTCCTAATAACATATTTTTTTGAAAAATTTTGCAAGTGTCAGAAAATACTTTATATAAATATGACGATAAAATGAGTTTAATATATATAAGTATGAACACACATCTATCGATAAAGAAATTAATATGAATATGAGCGTCTGTTCTCCTAATAACATATTTTTTTGAAAAATTTTGCAAGTGTCAGAAAATACTTTATATAAATATGACGATAAAATGAGTTTAATATATATAAGTATGAACACACATCTATCGATAAAGAAATTAATATGAATATGAGCGTCTGTTCTCCTAATAACATATTTTTTTGAAAAATTTTGCAAGTGTCAGAAAATACTTTATATAAATATGACAATAAAATGAGTTTAATATATATAAGTATGAACACACATCTATCGATAAAGAAATTAATATGAATATGAGCGTCTGTTCTCCTAATAACATATTTTTTTGAAAAATTTTGCAAGTGTCAGAAAATACTTTATATAATATGACGATAAAATGAGTTTAATATATATAAGTATGAACACACATCTATCGATAAAGAAATTAATATGAATATGAGCGTCTGTTCTCCTAATAACATATTTTTTTGAAAAATTTTGCAAGTGTCAGAAAATACTTTATATAAATATGACAAAAATGAGTTTAATATATATAAGTATGAACACACATCTATCGATAAAGAAATTAATATGAATATGAGCGTCTGTTCTCCTAATAACATATTTTTTTGAAAAATTTTGCAAGTGTCAGAAAATACTTTATATAATATGACGATAAAATGAGTTTAATATATATAAGTATGAACACACATCTATCGATAAAGAAATTAATATGAATATGAGCGTCTGTTCTCCTAATAACATATTTTTTTGAAAAATTTTGCAAGTGTCAGAAAATACTTTATATAAATATGACGATAAAATGAGTTTAATATATATAAGTATGAACACACATCTATCGATAAAGAAATTAATATGAATATGAGCGTCTGTTCTCCTAATAACATATTTTTTTGAAAAATTTTGCAAGTGTCAGAAAATACTTTATATAAATATGACATAAAATGAGTTTAATATATATAAGTATGAACACACATCTATCGATAAAGAAATTAATATGAATATGAGCGTCTGTTCTCCTAATAACATATTTTTTTGAAAAATTTTGCAAGTGTCAGAAAATACTTCATATAAATATGACAAAAAATGAGTTTAATATATATAAGTATGAACACACATCTATCGATAAAGAAATTAATATGAATATGAGCGTCTGTTCTCCTAATAACATATTTTTTTGAAAAATTTTGCAAGTGTCAGAAAATACTTTATATAAATATGACGATAAAATGAGTTTAATATATATAAGTATGAACACACATCTATCGATAAAGAAATTAATATGAATATGAGCGTCTGTTCTCCTAATAACATATTTTTTTGAAAAATTTTGCAAGTGTCAGAAATACTTTATATAAATATGACGATAAAAATGAGTTTAATATATATAAGTATGACACACATCTATCGATAAAGAAATTAATATGAATATGAGCGTCTGTTCTCCTAATAACATTTTTTTGAAAAATTTTGCAAGTGTCAGAAAATACTTTATATAAATATGACGATAAAATGAGTTTAATATATATAAGTATGAACACACATCTATCGATAAAGAAATTAATATGAATATGAGCGTCTGTTCTCCTAATAACATATTTTTTTGAAAAATTTTGCAAGTGTCAGAAAATACTTTATATAAATATGACGATAAAATGAGTTTAATATATATAAGTATGAACACACATCTATCGATAAAGAAATTAATATGAATATGAGGTCTGTTCTCCTAATAACATATTTTTTTGAAAAATTTTGCAAGTGTCAGAAAATACTTTATATAAATATGACGATAAAATGAGTTTAATATATATAAGTATGAACACACATCTATCGATAAAGAAATTAATATGAATATGAGCGTCTGTTCTCCTAATAACATATTTTTTTGAAAAATTTTGCAAGTGTCAGAAAATACTTTATATAAATATGACAATAAAATGAGTTTAATATATATAAGTATGAACACACATCTATCGATAAAGAAATTAATATGAATATGAGCGTCTGTTCTCCTAATAACATATTTTTTTTGAAAAATTTTGCAAGTGTCAGAAAATACTTCATATAAATATGACAAAAAATGAGTTTAATATATATAAGTATGAACACACATCTATCGATAAAGAAATTAATATGAATATGAGCGTCTGTTCTCCTAATAACATATTTTTTTGAAAAATTTTGCAAGTGTCAGAAAATACTTTATATAAATATGACGATAAAATGAGTTTAATATATATAAGTATGAACACACATCTATCGATAAAGAAATTAATATGAATATGAGCGTCTGTTCTCCTAATAACATATTTTTTTGAAAAATTTTGCAAGTGTCAGAAAATACTTATATAAATATGACGATAAAATGAGTTTAATATATATAAGTATGAACACACATCTATCGATAAAGAAATTAATATGAATATGAGCGTCTGTTCTCCTAATAACATATTTTTTTTGAAAAATTTTGCAAGTGTCAGAAAATACTTCATATAAATATGACAAAAAATGAGTTTAATATATATAAGTATGAACCACATCTATCGATAAAGAAATTAATATGAATATGAGCGTCTGTTCTCCTAATAACATATTTTTTTGAAAATTTTGCAAGTGTCAGAAAATACTTTATATAAATATGACGATAAAATGAGTTTAATATATAAATATGAACACACATCTATCGATAAAGAAATTAATATGAATATGAGCGTCTGTTCTCCTAATACATATTTTTTAAAAATTTTGCAAGTGTCAGAAAATACTTCATATAAATATGACAAAAAATGAGTTTAATATATATAAGTATGAACACACATCTATCGATAAAGAAATTAATATGAATATGAGCGTCTGTTCTCCTAATAACATATTTTTTTGAAAAATTTGCAAGTGTCAGAAAATACTTTATATAAATATGACGATAAATGAGTTTAATATATATAAGTATGACACACATCTATCGATAAAGAAATTAATATGAATATGAGCGTCTGTTCTCCTAATAACATATTTTTTTGAAAATTTTGCAAGTGTCAGAAAATACTTTATATAAATATGACAAAAATGAGTTTAATATATATAAGTATGAACACACATCTATCGATAAAGAAATTAATATGAATATGAGCGTCTGTTCTCCTAATAACATATTTTTTTTGAAAAATTTTGCAAGTGTCAGAAAATACTTCATATAAATATGACGATAAATGAGTTTAATATATATAAGTATGAACACACATCTATCGATAAAGAAATTAATATGAATATGAGCGTCTGTTCTCCTAATAACATATTTTTTTGAAAAATTTTGCAAGTGTCAGAAAATACTTTATATAAATATGACGATAAAATGAGTTTATATATATAAGTATGAACACACATCTATCGATAAAGAAATTAATATGAATATGAGCGTCTGTTCTCCTAATAACATATTTTTTTGAAAAATTTTGCAAGTGTCAGAAATACTTTATATAAATATGACGATAAAATGAGTTTATATATATAAGTATGAACACACATTCTATCGATAAAGAAATAATATGAATATGAGCGTCTGTTCTCCTAATAACATATTTTTTTGAAAATTTTGCAAGTGTCAGAAAATACTTTATATAAATATTTTTTTAAATTTTACAAATGTGAGAAAAGGCTTATAACGACAGTAGAGTTAACAGCCATATTAGAACATTCGCTCATAGAACTTTGGGGGGTGAAGAATAGTTAGGGAATGGACGCGAGAGTTTTGATAAAAATAGATGAAAATGAATCGTTGAAATAGTTGGGATATTTTGTTTATATTGTAGAATTTAAAAAATAGTATTTGTCCGCAAATTTAATCGCTTCTCGCTCGGCCGAATGGCTAAGATCAAGTGTAGTATCTGTTCTTATCAGCTTAATATCTGATAGTATCTGCATATCAGATCCAGTATATTAAACTGATTTTTGGAAATTGGCGGAATGTCAGGGGCCTTGCTCCGCTTCCGCCGCGGGGTTGCCCGGTATTGCAGTACCGCCGGGATCGGCCCATAAAAAACCATCATATAATAATAAATTTAAAAATGTGCATATATTGCATATTAAATATATATATATATATATAAATAATATAAATATATTGATATGTAATATCGATAATTGATTTCAAATTAACTATATAATTAATTATAATAAAACTATAGAATTAATAATAAAAATAAAAAATATATAAAGCTATACAAATCTAACAAAAGATTATATATAACGATAATAGGATTGAAAAATTTTGCAAGTGTCAGAAAATACTTCATATAAATATGACAAAAAATGAGTTTAATATATATAAGTATGAACACACATCTATCGATAAAGAAATTAATATGAATATGAGCGTCTGTTCTCCCAATAACATATTTTTTTGAAAAATTTTGCAAGTGTCAGAAAATACTTTATATAAATATGACGATAAAATGAGTTAATATATATAAGTATGAACACCCATCTATCGATAAAGAAATTAATATGAATAGAGCGTCTGTTCTCCTAATAACATATTTTTTTGAAAAATTTTTCAAGTGTCAAAAATACTTTATATAAATATGACGATAAATGATTTAATATATATAAGTATGAACACACATCTATCGATAAAAAAATTAATATGAATATGAGCGTCTGTTCTCCTAATAACATATTTTTTTTGAAAAATTTTGCAAGTGTCAGAAAATACTTATATAAATATGACGATAAATGAGTTTAAATATATAAGTATGAACACACATCTATCGATAAAGAAATAATATGAATATGAGCGTCTGTTCTCCTAATAACATATTTTTTTGAAAAATTTTGCAAGTGTCAGAAAATACTTCATATAAATATGACAAAAATGAGTTTAATATATATAAGTATGAACACACATCTATCGATAAAGAAATTAATATGAATATGAGCGTCTGTTCTCCTAATAACATATTTTTTTGAAAAATTTTGCAAGTGTCAGAAAATACTTATATAAATATGACGATAAAATGAGTTTAATATATATAAGTATGAACACACATCTATCGATAAAGAAATTAATATGAATATGAGCGTCGGTTCTCCTAATAACATATTTTTTTGAAAAATTTTGCAAGTGTCAGAAAATACTTTATATAAATATGACAAAAAATGAGTTTAATATATATAAGTATGAAAACACATCTATCGATAAAGAAATTAATATGAATATGAGCGTCTGTTCTCCTAATAACATATTTTTTGAAAAATTTTGCAAGTGTCAGAAAATACTTTATATAAATATGACGATAAAATGAGTTTAATATATATAAGTATGAACACACATCTATCGATAAAGAAATTAATATGAATATGAGCGTCTGTTCTCTAATAACATATTTTTTTGAAAAATTTTGCAAGTGTCAGAAAATACTTTATATAAATATGACGAAAAATGAGTTTAATATATATAAGTATGAACACACATCTATCGATAAGAAATTAATATGAATATGAGCGTCTGTTCTCCTAATAACATATTTTTTTGAAAAATTTTGCAAGTGTCAGAAAATACTTATATAAATATGACATAAATGAGTTTAATATATATAAGTATGAACACACATCTATCGATAAAGAAATAATATGAATATGAGCGTCTGTTCTCCTAATAACATATTTTTTTTGAAAAATTTTGCAAGTGTCAGAAAATACTTTATATAAATATGACGATAAAATGAGTTTAATATATATAAGTATGAAACACACATCTATCGATAAAGAAATTAATATGAATATGAGCGTCTGTTCTCCTAATAACATATTTTTTTGAAAAATTTTGCAAGTGTCAGAAAATACTTCATATAAATATGACAAAAAATGAGTTTAATATATATAAGTATGACACACACATCTATCGATAAAGAAATTAATATGAATATGAGCGTCTGTTCTCCTAATAACATATTTTTTTGAAAATTTTGCAAGTGTCAGAAAATACTTATATAAATATGACGATAAAATGAGTTTAATATATATAAGTATGAACACACATCTATCGATAAAGAAATTAATATGAATATGAGCGTCTGTTCTCCTAATAACATATTTTTTTGAAAAATTTTGCAAGTGTCAGAAAATACTTTATATAAATATGACGATAAAATGAGTTTAATATATATAAGTATGAACCACATCTATCGATAAAGAAATTAATATGAATATGAGCGTCTGTCTCCTAATAACATATTTTTTGAAAAATTTTACAAGTGTCAGAAAATACTTATATAAAAATGACAAAAAATGAGTTTAATATATATAAGTATGAACACACATCTATCGATAAAGAAATTAATATGAATATGAGCGTCTGTTCTCCTAATAACATATTTTTTTGAAAAATTTTGCAAGTGTCAGAAAATACTTTATATAAATATGACGATAAAATGAGTTTAATATATATAAGTATGAACACACATCTATCGATAAAGAAATTAATATGAATATGACCGTCTGTTCTCCTAATAACATATTTTTTGAAAAATTTTGCAAGTGTCAGAAAATACTTATATAAATATTTTGTAAAATTTTACAAATGTGAGAAAGGCTTATAAACGACAGTAGAGTTAACAGCCATATTAGAACATTCGCTCATAGAACTTGGGGGGTGAAGAATAGTTAGGAATGGACGCGAGAGAGTTGATAAAAAATAGATGAAAAATGAATCGTTGAAATAGTTGGGAATATTTTGTTTATATTGTAGAATTTAAAAAATAGTATTTGTCCGCAAATTTATCGCTTCTCGGCGAGATGGCTAAGATCAAAGTGTAGTATCTGTTCTTATCAGCTTAATATCTGATAGTATCTGCATAGCAGATCCAGTATATAAACTGATTTTTGGAAATTGGCGGAATGTCAGGGGCTTGCTCCGCTTCCGCCGCGGGTTGGCCCGTATTGCAGTACCGCCGGGATCGGCCCATAAAAACCATCATATAATAATAAATTTAAAAATGTGCATATATTGCATATTAAATATATATATATATATAAATATATTAAATATATTGATATGTAATATCGATAATTGATTTCAAATTAACTATATAATTAATTATATAAAAACTATAGAATAATAATAAAATAAAAAAAATATATATAAAGCTATACAAATCTAACAAAAGATTATATATAACGATATAGGATTGAAAAATTTTGCAAGTGTCAGAAAATACTTCATATAAATATGACAAAAAATGAGTTTAATATATATAAGTATGAACACACATCTATCGATAAAGAAATTAATATGAATATGAGCGTCTGTTCTCCTAATAACATATTTTTTTGAAAAATTTTGCAAGTGTCAGAAAATACTTTATATAAATATGACGATAAAATGAGTTTAATATATATAAGTATGACACACACATCTATCGATAAAGAAATTAATATGATATGAGCGTCTGTTCTCCTAATAACATATTTTTTTGAAAAATTTTGCAAGTGTCAGAAAATACTTCATATAAATATGACAAAAAATGAGTTTAATATATATAAGATGAACACACATCTATCGATAAAGAATTAATATGAATATGAGCGTCTGTTCTCCTAATAACATATTTTTTTGAAAAATTTTGCAAGTGTCAGAAAATACTTTATATAAATATGACAATAAAATGAGTTTAATATATATAAGTATGAACACACATCTATCGATAAAGAAATAATATGAATATGAGCGTCTGTTCTCCTAATAACATATTTTTTTGAAAAATTTTGCAAGTGTCAGAAAATACTTTATATAAATATGACGATAAAATGAGTTTAATATATATAAGTATGAACACACATCTATCGATAAAGAAATTAATATGAATATGAGCGTCTGTTCTCCTAATAACATATTTTTTGAAAAATTTTGCAAGTGTCAGAAAATACTTTATATAAATATGACGAAAAATGAGTTTAATATATATAAGTATGAACACACATCTATCGATAAAGAAATTAATATGAATATGAGCGTCTGTTCTCCTAATAAATATTTTTTTGAAAAATTTGCAAGTGTCAGAAAATACTTTATATAAATATGACGATAAAATGAGTTTAATATATATAAGTATGAACACACATCTATCGATAAAGAAATTAATATGAATATGAGCGTCTGTTCTCCTAATAACATATTTTTTTTGAAAAATTTTGCAAGTGTCAGAAAATACTTCATATAAAATATGACAAAAAATGAGTTTAATATATATAAGTATGAACACACATCTATCGATAAAGAAATTAATATGAATATGAGCGTCTGTTCTCCTAATAACATATTTTTTGAAAAATTTTGCAAGTGTCAGAAAATACTTTATATAAATATGACGATAAAATGAGTTTAATATATATAAGTATGAACACACATCTATCGATAAAGAAATTAATATGAATATGAGCGTCTGTTCTCCTAATAACATATTTTTTTGAAAAATTTTGCAAGTGTCAGAAAATACTTCATATAAATATGACAAAAAATGAGTTTAATATATATAAGTATGAACACACATCTATCGATAAAGAAATTAATATGAATATGAGCGTCTGTTCTCCTAATAACATATTTTTTTGAAAAATTTTGCAAGTGTCAGAAAATACTTTATATAAATATGACGATAAAATGAGTTTAATATATATAAGTATGAACACACATCTATCGATAAAGAAATTAATATGAATATGAGCGTCTGTTCTCCTAATAACATATTTTTTTGAAAAATTTTGCAAGTGTCAGAAAATACTTTATATAAATATGACAAAAAATGAGTTTAATATATATAAGTATGAACACACATCTATCGATAAAGAAATTAATATGAATATGAGCGTCTGTTCTCCTAATAACATATTTTTTGAAAAATTTTGCAAGTGTCAGAAAATACTTTATATAAATATGACGATAAAATGAGTTTAATATATATAAGTATGAACACACATCTATCGATAAAGAAATTAATATGAATATGAGCGTCTGTTCTCCTAATAACATATTTTTTTGAAAA